TTTGTCAAGCACTTTGTGACTTTGTCTGTGAAAAGCGCTTTGTAAATAAACTTTACTTACTTATTTACTTATGATTGTATCTAAAGTCCTGAGCCTTTTTGTGGCCTATATTTTTCTGCTTGGATGCATTTTTCTCTGCCTAGGGATTGACATTAAATGTATTGATCACTAGCCATTATGGCTATTGGTTTTTTAAAGTCACTAGCCACTCAGCATATTCACTAGCCACCATTTTGTTGATGGGCAATTACATATTATTTGATTTGTGTTGAACCTACCCGGTTGGTTAAATAGTCTTTTCATCTCGTTTGTCTCCTCTTCCTTTTGGTGTCATCATCGCATGCTATCATTGTGTGTTTTCTGCTATTCAGGTTTTGTCACAGCTGTTTCCTGACAATTCATTGTAGCTTTTTAGTTTTAAATCTGCTCCTTGTTCAAGTTGCTGGTCACGGCCTAACAAGCCAGAAAGCCAAATGGACCAATAGAATGAATGAGCAAACCGTGTGCATTAAGTGCTCATGGGAGTTGGATACGATACGATACGATAATATAAGATATACAGTTGAGATTGTCTGCCTTTTTGCATGTAGTGAATTTCTGGATTATGATGTTTCTGGTCATCCAGACACAGTTTATTCCCTGCAATGTTCTGAGGTGTTTTGTTAGGTGATGGCATGGGCGCGGGAAGGGGGGTGCTGAAGGCGCTGCAGTACCCCCTAGCGGCAGGCAGGGGGTGCGGAGCTCCCCTGTTTGAATTATTATTTGACGGTTATTGCTGCTCCCGCTGTGCATAATCTGTGTAATAGGCCTATGTAGCCAATAAATTCCACATTGTTGGTAAAATAATATTTTGGCCTGCCCCGAATGTTTTTTCTGTAGCCCCGGACAATTCTACCTCAATAATATAATACATTAACCGTGCTTTACGTGAACCTCATCAAGACACTAGAAAGGACGGCAGGACTGTAATTTCCCGTGTTCAGTGAATGCAACAGAGGCAAGACACCAGACCAATCAGAGAGTTGCATGGAAATAAAAGTGTGCTTGTGTCATTCAAGCTCGCGGCTCTGTGTGTGTGCGGAAATAGCGCATTTAGTGTGTGTGAGAGAGGGGGAGAGAGAGAGGGACAGGTGCCAGCAGCAGGGGCCGTGTTGTTAGCATCTGGTTAGCTAGCTGCACTAACGGACATACGGAGCTGTTTGTTCCACAACAAGCTGGAGAGACTCTCTCTCAGACTGAGAGGCTCAGTTGGAGCTAAAGGACTCTCTGAGTTGTTTTAGATAGTTAACTTTAGTCTACAAGTTTATCTCAGTGGTCTCAAACGGTTTGGTCAAAAAATTATTCAAAAGATTATTTCCGCGGGCACACCTTCATATGATCATTATGTTTAAAAAAATAAGAGAAAAAAGGAAAAACAGTTATGAAAATAAATCTATATGCAGTTTAAAACAAGATACAGTTTGAAAGGGGAGTGATTTGTAAAAATCCATAAAGAAAAAGAACATATGCTTACAGTTGTGTTTCACCGGGTTTGAGAGATGTATCCATAGATCTCTTTAATGTTTGCCTCTCAAAGGCACAGATTGATGCTTTTAACTTCAATATTTTAAAAAAATTTCCCCGGGGGAGCATCCCCCGGACCCTTAAGAGGAGTAAGGTCTCCTCCCCACTCGTAAAAAATAGCACTTTCCCCTGCACTATATGCCGTGAGCTGATTATCGAGCCTTCTCATTGTAACAGTTCGCGGTTTACTGTGTGTTTGCGTGTGGGGAGTTTTTGTGCGTGGTGCTCTATAGTGCCCGTAATAGTGTTCCCTGGAGTCCAGCCAGCCCCCACGTCACAAAATACCTTTCCGCGCTCTGGGTGATGGTGACTAATCTGCGTTAGGGTGGGTTTGATGGTGTGAGTTTATTATTATTATCACTCTGTTATTTCTGCAAAGTGACACTGAGTGCAAAACATCTTACTGTACATTCTGCATTCATTTAAAATCTCTTCACTGTAAGTGGCATACCTGAAATGTAAAGATTGTATTTGCACCTTTTGAACCTACACAGTGTCCCCCAGCTGCAGCGGCATAATGGTGTCACCCCCTGTGCAGAGGCTGCATGTCTGTGAGATTGAAGACTCCCCTGAGTAGGCTTTTGCTCCTGCTGGACCAGAAAATACTCGGGATGTATTNATTTCCTGATTTTTTCTGAGTGACTAGATGGGGTGTCCTGCTATCACCCTGGAGTGAGATGAGTCTTTGATACTGGACAGTTTTTTTTTTTTTCTCATCTAAAAACAGGGATGATACCTCATATGAGACTTCAAAGGTCTTTTATTTTGAAACTCTACATCAGAATGTCCTGATTTTTGTCTGAGTGACTAGATGACCACTTAGACACTTAGATTGAGCAATGCCTGTTTCTGAAAGTTCCATTTAGTTTTTGTATTGCATTCTCAATTGATTACAGAACAAGTGAAGACAAGTACAAGGGACCATACGCAGCAAAAAGACTGTATACAAAGTTGGACAAGGAGAGATAGAGAAAGAAGGAGGGGACACAACAAACACACAAGCAAAGCAGCTGAAGAATACAACACGGGTTACACTGATGGGGGGAAGCAAGAGGCTCGTGTATAGCACAGATCCTGTATGAATATGGATGGATTGTTCGAGTATCAGAATACCTTTATTAGTCCCACGAGGGGAAATGTGCGTAGTTACAGCAGGAAAAAGAGCCATAGACAGCTTAATGTTACATGTTAAATATGTGACATGCATTTAAAAAAAGTACTAAGTTATGATATGATAAAAAGTTACATCATTTAAAAAAATACACATCCTGTAACATTTCTTAGGATTTAGCAGCCAGGTATATATTACACAGTTATTAACGGCATCTATATATATTGCACATCTAGCACATATTGCACATAGGTGGTTGGTATTTAACAGCAGCAAGTTACACAATTTACAAAATACACACCTTGTAACATTTCTTAGGATTTAGCAGCCAGGTATATATTACACAGTTATTAACGGCATCTATATATATTGCACATCTAGCACATATTGCACATAGGTGGTTGGTATTTAACAGCAGCAAGTTACACAATTTACAAAATACACACCTTGTAACAGTTCTAAGGATTTAGCAGCCAGGTATATATTACACAGTTATTAACGGCATTTATATATTGCACATAGTTTATTGGTATTTAGCAGCAAGGGGTGATATAGTCTGTGTTGTGGTGTGTGTAGGGGGGGGGTCAACTAGGGGCTGTGCTGGTTGTATAGTCTGAGTAGTTCATTTTCTATTCAAGCTTTGAAATGGTATTTGAATGTTCATTTATGGTGTGTTTCTTATGCAATTTGTCACGGATGCTTTGATCTTTTATGTAAAGCATTTTGAATTTCCTGCAGCTGAAGTGTCTTATAAAAAATGCCAGAGGAAATATCATCAGAGGAAATAACATCATTGTCTCTTTTCTTTGACTCAGCAAAATGAAATGAGAAGCGTAACCAACATCACCACCGGGTAGTTCTGAAACGCTGAAGATTAAACTGTGCGTCTCTTTCAAGCTGCAGTTCAGATCAGCCCACACAGTCTCACTGAAAACACATGGCAGCTGTTTTTCACACTGCAGGGCATGATAAATATGGATACTGTGCTCTACAGAAAACACCAGTCACATTCAGTTGTATAAAAACGATGGATTGGAATTGTTTGAAACTTGATGAGTGTCTCTTATAAAGCTGCCTCTCTGTCCTCTGCTTGCTATCCTCTATCCGTCCACCAGATGCCCTCAGACTCTCCCACCTGTCCGGTCACCTGACTCTCAACACCACCTGCTCCTGATTCCACTTTCCCTCAGCAGAACATTTACAGGCACATTTCCACTCACTCCAAGCCAAATTGGCGTGGTTGCTTTGTGCCTCTTCAGCTTTTTAGCCATCTGCACTGCTCCTGCGCTTTTTCCCTGCCTTATTTTTGTGCACCCATGGATTCTCAGTGACTCATGTTTGAATTTTCTAACCATACCAGTCAGCTTATGTGATTTCACTGTTTTAAAAAAATCACTGATCTGTTCCTGCTTGCCTTGATTCAGATTCAGAAGTCCTTTATTCACCCTACAGCAGAGACATAATGGCGCATTTCCACTACAGCGCGGAGCGAGGTTTAAGCGCGCCGTACCCGGCCCGTTTTTTGTTGCGTTTCCACTAGGGGTAGTTCCGGCTAGCGGGTACTTGTTCACAGTTTTCTGGCTCTCCAAAATCAAGGTTCTTTCCGGGCCAACAACCGGGCTGAGTATGCTAAACTAGTGAGAGAATAGCTGCAACAAAATGAACATATTTTACTGTGGTTTAATTGTAATACACGTTTCAAAATGATACCTAAGTAACAACATACTGATACCGGTTAGTAAAAACCATGAATTAATGCTTTGACAATTCTGCAGACAGACGGCAGACGAAAAACCTTTTTAAATGCATGTTTTCTGAATGGAGATCGGCCAAGCTAACGTGGTATATGCTCCGACCGACCACACTCACAACTACAGCCTATACAGACATAAATAAACCAGCGACTGTATTCGCCATGACACAGACAGTCTGTGGTTTGTACTTGTTTAACTTTTGTCTAGTTTCTGAACAGATATGAGGAGCTGTGAGCTCTGAGGGCTAACAGCTAACGGCTGATGTTGGTTTTGTGTTTCGCATTGAAGATGACGTCACGGCTCCGCCTACACTGCGTTACTATAGTTACTACCCCAGTTCCTAAACTGTAATGGAAACGCAGCATAAAGTGAGCCTGGCCTACCAAGGCCTAACTATACCGTACTAAGCCGTGTGAGGCCCTGCAGTGGAAATGCACTCACCGACCTGACAGTGGCCAACTAATAACATAGTTAATAACCACTTTTTTAGGCGCTCTCTGGCAAAAGAATATCTTTAAAAAGGAGTTTTGTTTATTCTTGGTTTTTGATTTGTTTGTTAAATAATAACTCACCACCCAACAGGCATTGCCCAGGTCCGCAATCTTGATGAGGATTTTTTCAGCATTCTTGGGCTTTAGTAGGTCCAAAAGTACATCCGAGTCACCTAGAATAAACAACATAATGATATAGAAAGCGAAGTTAATCCGACCAGGGCAGACTGTTAGTTTACTGATAATACAAGGGAATCTAAAAAAGTAACATTATTAAAACACTATTAAATAAACCCACGAACAGAATTATAGATTTGTCCCAAACTGTAAACATCACATTTCCACAGGAAGAGGAACAAACAGCTGACATCCACTTTAGGAAAAACAAAGATGTCCTGCCACTGACCTCGAGGAGAGGACGATGAAGGAGGAGGCGGCTCTTTGTCAGCAGCCTGATGAAATAAGTCTGATCTGGAGCCAGAGACGGGGGCCTGTGTGTTGAGGTCCGGCCACGAGCAGATGGACTCTCTGTTGTTGCGTGGCGCCGAGTCCGGTCCGTCTTCAAACAGCAGCGTCTGCCGCCTCAACGTGAAGTTAGGACCCGCTGTGAGCTTAGAGGGACAGGTGGAGCGAGGCGTGGTGGGTGGAGTAGTCTCGTCAGAAAAGGAAACGTGAAGGTTTTCTTTTCTTTTTTGCTCAGGTGCGTTTTCCTGTCCTCGTCGACTCCTGTCTTTTCTTGTCAGTCGCTTAATGGGGATCCTGGAGACCTTGCTGGACTGCAGCGGTGCAATCAGTGGTGTGAAATAATGAAAGGTGGGCATTGAGTAAAAATACAGTACCTTCATGCCTGTTATAGAAAAACATGCCGATTAAAGCCACAAGTTAAAGATGCCTGTCATTAATGTTTACAAATGCTCACATAACTTTTTGCATTTTAATGATTTAGATATCGTTTGCACAAATGAGAAATTAGGCTGCGTTGCTTAAAATAATTGAATATTGTCTAAGATAGGGATGTCAAACTCAATTTCATCTCGGGCCACATCAGCATCAGGGATGTTTTTTTTTACTATATAAAAATACATATATCAATATTTAATATATATAAAATAATGTATTACATTACATTAATGCCTCTGCATTGGATTATTATCAGATAGGGTAATAACTTCATAATTAACTACGTCTGAAAGCAGAAGTCTAGGGCAAATAATTGCAAGTGCGAATGTCACAAAATGATTTAAAAAGAAAAGCCAAATTCTGGAGAAAAAAGTCCAAATCAAAAAAATGAATAAGTGACATTTTGAAAAAAAAGTCAGATTCTGAGAAAATAGGAATATTTTGAAGAAAACAATTCTAATTCTGAGAAAAAAGTACAATTTGAGATGCATTGTGCTACATGTAGCCTAGTTTATGGGCAACGTGCTTCTGTAAATCGGCACGTAACCGAATAATAAACATATTATATTCTTTGCAACTCTTGTGGGGCCACATCAAATGAAGTCATGGGCCGGATTTGGCCCCCCGGGCCTTGAGTTTGACACCCCTGGTCTAAGATTTTTCAAAATGTGAAATATCTTTTCTCTTTTTGAAATTGTTAGAAAATGTCACTTTCATTTGACCTAAATCTTGCTTGCATTAGTGGATGTTTTTATATTGTTCATATTCAATTATTTAATTCAACATATTTTTTGGTCCACTGCACGGTGGGGTACTACTTAGGAAAATTAATGCATTTTCCTAATTCTTTTTTGAAGTAACATAAATATGCTGAAGTTATTATGCTATTGAGAATTACATTTTCATTTTGAAGTGTACATGGAATGCCATACCCCATGGGCTACCAAAGCATTTTCCACTACACTGTCGGGTACGACTTATAAAATCAAACAACATATCCATTTCCATCTAAATTTGGACACACAACTCATTTACGAGTATGTACAAAATAATTCTAATCCTTATGCATTTTCAAATATGTTTTAATATACATATGCGTGTATCCTGTGGTCTTCCAAACGCCGCTGTGGTGTTGTCAAGATGCAGTTAAGAGGCAGTGGTAAAGCAAACAAAACAAATCCATCTTACCCACTCCCCAATAGTGTGGAAAACCCCGGTCAGCTTCCCAAACATGTTGGACAAACTCTTAGGAAGTCAAAGCAGAAACACAGATGTCATAAAACAATCACAACAAAACACAAAAAAATAATAATAATGAATTATACATTTCAGGATGCACACCTGTTTTTCTCTGGACCTTGTGTTCGCTGGCAGGAAGCAAAAACATAAGCAAGGAAAGGAGGCACAGGGTGTGAAAATAAGTGGAAAAGAATGTTGTTTTTTGTATTTAATCAAGATGCCTTCACCAGCATATTCCTTTCAAATGATCTCACTTACCTGTGGCGCTGGTGAAAGCAGAGCACGCTGGCATCTGCCACAGCTTAGTGTTTGCCGCCAGGTTCTGAATGTAAACCTCATCCACCCTCAGCAGGATGTTTTCAGGCTTGATGTCTGTGTGGATGATCTTGCATTTAGTGTGCAAGTAATCTAAACCCTGCAGAACCTGTGAGAAGAAATGGAAACACAGTCACTGTCACTGCAGCCCGTGTCATAGAGGGGCACAAATAGAAGATAATCTGTTCAGAGCTCAGTCAGTGGTGAAAGACAGGAAGCATGATTTAGGATGGAATAAAGGGTTGCACAGCACCTGTCTGAGGATGCTCTTCACACAGGGCAGCGGGAGGCCAGTGTAGTTCGATTTGACGATCCACCGCAGCACCTGGTGACCCAGCACCTCCAGAACCATGCACACATCTGATGAGCAGTTAAAGACCTTTGTTTCATTCTGTACAGCGCGGGTATAGAGGGTTTCTTGGGTATTTTTGAGAGTGCAAAAAAGACATCGACACAATCTTTTCATCTCCTTGCTTGCACTATGATAAAATGATGTCATGGTAGGGCTGCTCAATTCATCGTATTTTAGTCGCAATTACGATTTTGGCTTGCAACGATTACGAAAACAACTTAATCGAAATAAAACGATATATATTTGTATTATTATTTTTCTTTTAATATATTTTTGGGGTTTTTCAGTTGAATTGACTTAAAGTTCAGGGTAATCAACTGTTAAAAACATACTATTCACATTTTTTTTTTAAATAAATGTATGTTTTCAAAGTTAACGGATAATCGTTTTTAATAATCGTGATATCAATTTGATATCACGATTATTAAAAACGATTATCCGTTAACTTTGAAAACATACATTTATTTAAAAAAAAAATGTGAATAGTATGTTTTTAACAGTTGATTACNTTAACAACATGTCAAGGTTTTGGAATGCGGACCCAAAAGTATTACAAACAGGGAGGCAGGTGTGGGGCAAACAAACCAGGAACACTCAGGAGACACAGGAGGGCAGACCAGGGAAATCCTAGAACTGTAAACTTGCGAAAACCGGAAACTATACACACAAAAGTGAACTAAAATCATGACACAGCACAGTGGAANCGAGCAGCCCTATGTCATGGTGGTATTTGAATGTTTGTCTGTATGCACATAGGCAACGGAAGCATGTGTGAAACTGTACTGTCCTGTTTTTCAATCTCACTCTGTTGCTTCTTAAACTCCTGAATTTCCCCACGGGGATTAATAAAAGTTCCATCTTATCTTATCTTATGTATGAATGACTGAACACAGGATTACCAAAGACATGCCAAAGATCAGTCAGGGCCTCTTCCTCTGGCCTTTGCCTAGAAAATGTCGCTCAGAGAGACACGAAACAACCAAGACGAGACTCAAAATCAAAACAAAGAAACACCGAACGGCTTTAAAGAGATACAGAAACAACTGCAACGAAATGAAAAACAGCTGCATAGAGACGTAAAGACACTTACAGCAGTTACGAAAAGCAACCACAAAGGACAAAAAACTGTTGAGAGACACAAAGCGTGACCAACACAATCATAAAGTAACACAAAACATCTACAAAGAGACACAACATGTTCAAAAAGAGACACACAACAACAGAGAGATGGGAAATGACTACAAAGAGAACAATTAGTGGCTTAACAGGTAAACAATCTGTGTGTCTTGCTCCTTTGTGGGAGATGTGGCCTGTTGCATGTCTCTGCCTAGTGGCCCATAATCTGCATATTCATTTATTAAGTATATATCAATTAGTATGTTGTAACATTACATGGTTCTGTAAAGGATACGCTCTCCATTTGCTGTAGTGATCCTGAAGTCATCGATGAGATGCACGATGGTTTCACGGTTTGGATCTTTGGGGTCAATGTCCCTTACCTGATGATCATATACGGAACATATTATAAATATCAATATAAATGTATTATAATGATAAAAACCCTCACACTGTGATTAAATGGCCTCCTAACAGCGATACATTGCAAGAACATGGCAGATATTTTGATTCAACAACAAATTATTCAAGCTACAGTGTGAGACATTGGTGGTTTCGTAATTGTGTGTATTAAAAAAAACTAATGCTGATCAACAACTGAAAGTATTATCAAGTATTTTAAAATGTTGTTTAGTTCGCCCTGTCGTTCTCCACATGCACACACACCACAGTGAATTATTAACCCCCTATCAACGTTTCTGATAATCTTTTCCACATAAAACAGTTTTTTGTTAGCAACTAGACACGTACTAATAGTACACAAAGACATACTTCTTATGCATTAGTACTCTAAAAATGACTACAACTAGTATGCATGTTGAACAAAGGAATAGGGGTCACACTGACACATTTCAGGAGTTTGATCTCATCCAGTGCCGTCTCTGTGAAGGTTTGAGCACTCTTCACTACCTTCAGAGCCACAAAACGCCCGTTCCTGCATGCAAACAATTATGGCAGTTAGCTTCTATTATGTTTAGATCATCTCTATGTTATGTTATCATGTTAAATATGGTGTTAATAAAAGTTTAAATGTTTACTTACACCATATCCCAGCACAGCCATACAGTAGAGAAGTGGCCCCATCCCAACTTTTTTACCACTTGGTAACGGTCAACAAAAATATCTCCAATCTCTACATGGTAGTAACCACCTGCGACACAGTGAAGACGAAGAAGACAACGAAGAAGACAACGGAGAAGACGAAGACGAAAACATTGTTTATTAATCAATTAGGGAAAATTCCATTCCACTGTGCTGTTTCATGATTTTAGTTCACTTTTGTGTGTATAGTTTCCGGTTTTCGCAAGTTTACAGTTCTAGGATTTCCCGGGTCTGCCCTCCTGAGTGCTCCTGGTTTGTTTGTCACTTTTCCTTTTGTTCCTCCTCGCCTGCTCCTGCCATTGTTGATGTTTTACCAGCTTTTAATTTAATAAAAGCTCGCCTTCTGTTTGTATCCCCACACCAGAGTCCTGCATCGGGTCGGGTACCCGGGTGTCCCGCAAAAAAAGTGATTCGCGGTAGGGCTGCATGATTTGGGGAAATAATCGAATTGCGATTTTTCTGACAGAGATTGCCATTGTGATTTGCGATATTTGTTTTTAAGCGGCCCAAAAGAAAAATCGCAATTCGATTATTTCCCCAAATCATGCAGCCCTACCGCGANTGAGAAAGTGTGAACCTTTCCTTTACAATTACATTATTCAGATGAGCTTTTCATATTGACTTTACTCTACGTTCTAGCTGGAAAACATCATCGGAAAAATACCTATTTCTGATTATTCAATATATAAGCACCAGAGTCGAGAATTAAATGGCCCAATTATGCTTTTTGGGGGTTTTCCCTTTTGTGTAGTGTGTTTTATAGGGTTTTGAGTAAGTTATGGTCTAAAAGGCTAAGATCCCCTTGTTCCCTCTCCTTGTAACGCTTCCATTGGACTTCTTTGTTTACTACCGTGACATAGTGACATCACTTTGTAACACTCACTCTTCTACTGGCTAGTGCTCCAGCACATTGCACATGGCGAGAAATCACTAAGTGGTTGACCAATCACAACAGAGCCGACCAGCTAACCACTCAGAGCAGACTGGGCTCTGGTTTCAGACAGAGGGTGAAAAGAGGTGCTGCAGCACAGGCAGTATGAGAAAAACAAAGAGCTTTTTGAACATTAAGGCATTGAGACAAGTCCCATTAGAGGCACAAAATACAAATATAAACCTGAAAATGAGTATAATATGTCCTCTTTAAGGAACCACTTTATTTTCAAAGACGTCTCTCTCGAAGCTACTGACCATGTTTCATATTTTTCATGCTGTATTGTCGTTTTGGTTTTACCCTCCACTTCTTGCCTCTCGTAGAGTATATTTGATTGATTTGTGTTTCCTCCCCAACAGGTCGATGGAGTTCTCACTCTATCAGGAGACTCCTCATCCACAGATGCAAGAGGCGACCCCAAAGGAACCCAATCCAGACCCAGGCACCCTAGTCTGAAGCAGCAGAACACACACACAAAAACACACACAAACTCAAGCAGAAACACTGTAGCCTCACATACACATTCACCCACACGAGTCGATACAATGTGACCTCAACAGCAAAGTAAAACACGTTAACCTCAGCAGAAAGTGACTGGAATACGTGATAAACTGTAGCTGTACAGTGTGAAAAAGCCTTGGCTAGTTCCCCGTGTTATAACTGATCCCATGTGAACTTCATGTGCACTGGAGTCAACGCATCTAATAACAATATGGTCATGCTGTACTTAATATATCAATATTTCTGGTCAAACACAAGCAGTGATATTCTTCCTGATAACCCTGAAAACGCCCCAAATATACTTTTTTACAGAATATATACAACTCTAAATTACTATTTTGTATCTTCTGAGATATAAAGAACAGCTATATTAAAGAGGTAATTTATTGCTCATTAATCTTGTGATATACAAAGATGAGCTCACCATCATTTAAAAAAAAGTATTAATTCATGCCAGTGAATGTGTGTTTGTAAAACTATATAAAAAAACAACATGCTTCAGTCGATCATCTGCCGTTTAATTTCCCAGTCATTTGTATTTTCCACATTTGATTAAAGACAGGGGCCATGAACTGTAACGTACTGGTGTAGCAGACGGGAGTGCCTAAATGTTTTAAAAACCTTGGTTAGAAAACTTTAAAGTGCTTTCTAATGATCTCAAAATGTGAACGCTAAGCTTTTGTGAGCTTAGTTTAATCCGAAAAAGAACTGAAAGCAGTTTACGATGTCACCAAATTGGGGTATTTTGGAATGATGTCATGTATATTGTTCAGTATGTTTTCTAGATGCAGCGTACTGCTGGGCATAAAATGTAGCTTTCTCTGTGCTGAGCGACCAATTTGACCACTTTTAGGACGATCCTGAGGGCTGTTGTTAAAGCTACTGAAAGGCAGTAGCACATGACTGTATGACAAAAATGTAATAATGTTCCCCCTGCGTTTAGTTATGGAGGATTTGAGTGTCATATGGAGCACTTTATGAGCATCTTAAGCCTTAATTCCTTAGAAAATTGTCACCAAACGAGACGGGTTTTTTTTAAATTGGGGGAATAAATAAGTGTCAACATCTACTGAAGATCTATCTGAATGTTAGTCTGTATATAGCGTGGATTGTACTGATGAGTTTCAAGCTGTTTTATTCCGGCACTAACAACAATAATCCTTTTTTTAACTAACCATATGATAAGTATATATTCAAAAAATAATCGCCCCGAAATACGCCCACTCTCATAGTGAGCACTATTTAATTGGTTTGTAAAAGAAGGTACAGAATAGGGCTGCTGCAGTTTGAATGACGGTGTGAGCGGGTCTCATACCAGTAAATGTGTTAATAAGAATTCATGCTGGCGGATTTTTTTGTATTTGTAATGATTTCAGCTCATTTCATGTGCTTGGACTTCAAAAAAATAACTTTTCATGTTTTTAAATCTTAGTAATGCATCATAATGTATGTTTGTAATCTTATTCTGCAGTGTAATCTTCAGAAAGATCTAAATATTACATGAAATCCTCAAGGAGACTGAAAGTATATGTGTTAAGTCTAGACCAGGGGGAGGCAACCGTTTGCAGTGGCTCCCCGTAGCTTTGAGAATAAATAACATGGACATAAATAACAGCAATTTCTCTTTTTTTTGTTGCACAGTGGAACATTTTCCTTTTATCTTTGAGTTTGAGGTGATGCTGTGACACTGAAATAATATTAATATTTCTTCAGCTAATAGATGCGTCACATCCTTCCATGTACTGACGCCTTTCCCGGGAGGTGGCATTTCCTACATTTTAGACCGCGGCCTTGGGAAAATAACAATCCACAAAAAGAAAAGTCCCAAATTAAGCAAAGTTTAATTCTGTGTGTATAGATTCCTTTGCTTGTACTGCCAACACTGGTTGATTATACAGTGAGAAATTAGCAAACCACAAACATTGTAATCTTGAAAGACATATCCTGAACACAGAATTTGCTGTTTGTTATGTTATTACAGGAACAAATTGTAATAGATTTTCAACTTTTTCTTTATTGTCGATCTATAAGTTCACAGATGCAACAAACACGTTTTTGTATGTAACTATATACAACACTTTAAAAGCTGTGTTAGCGGCCCCAGACAAACCTTAATAGGGGACAAAGTGGGGCAACATAACATTGAATATAAAGGTTGTTGACCCCTAGTCTAGACAACATTTTACCTCCATTTAATGTACTCGATCTTTGGCCAAAACTCATTTGAATGTAATTCTTTGTCATATGTGATGTTGTTTTTTACTCTAAGATGTAGCACACCGTTGAATGTTTCCCGGTTTCTTTGCTGTGTTCAGTAACCATCCTCATAGAGCTTCTTCCAGCTGGTTAAAACCTGAAATTAAAGACCAAACATGCTGTGCACTGGGGGTCATAAATGTATTTTTCATATACTCTGTAAGTTGCAAATCAATGAAATAAATGTAGCTCTGAAGCTAATTTATTCAAACTATACTATATTTATGAGCCTATAACATTTTGTAGCTATCTACTGTAGCTCTTCCTCATCAGTGCGGGAATTGGTAATGTGTGCTAAAACCACTTCATTCAGCAGTGTGATGTGTTAATATTTGATTATTCTTTTTTTTAGATATTTAAATGCAGCTGTTTTCTCTTTCCCTACTCTCTTTATACCCAGGCCTGTGAAATAAGACAAAATAGGCCGGCCCAATGCTGTATGTATGAGATTGTGCTTCATTCTACTAAATAAAGTGTCATGTTGAAATCATCACACAATGAGTCAGACACGTTTATTGTAACATATATTGAATATAACAGTGGAAGCATGCACACTGGCAAGGCCCTGACACTTATAGGGGAACTTGGCACTTGAAATATTCCTGAAAATACATAAACAATTAACAATATTTAATGTCATAAAAACTTAATGTTCTTGTCAAAATTATAGTGATTTAGGATTCCCATATTAACATGTTCATCAAAACTCAATCAGGGAGAGAGTGGGTCTCGAGATATACTCAAAATAAAGGATATTTCAAGAATAAATGAAGGAAAGTAAAAATGTCAAGAATAAAGGGGATATATTGAGAACAAAGTGGAGAATTTGAGTGAATACTTTTGAAAAGCAAAGTGTGAAGTCAAATGTTTAGAAAAAAAGTCCAGCTTTCATAAGTTCAGGCATAAGTTCAGTTTTTAACAAATGTTGAAATCCAATTTCTGATTTAAAAAAATAATAATTTGAACAATAAAGTTGACATACCAAGTCAAGTCACATTTTGAGAATAATACAATTACTAGTGCGAGCTCATATACTACAATATCTTCATCCTATTGTAAAATATTTGTTTGAAATAAAAAAACGTTATACCCAAGAAGATTAATGTTGTTACACATTCATAGTCATTTCCCTTTGATTTATATAATTATTCTAAATATTTTGATGATGACCTGTATTATTTTAAAACCCTCAATTGTAAGAAAGTCAAAGGTGAAATAATAGATATGAGAATAAGCCCCTCGCCCCCTCTGGAAATAGACCTGCTATCTAGCCTACATAGTGTGAAGTGTGTTCAGCAGCTCTACTATTCCTGGACCTGAACAGAACAGCGCGAGGAGCACAGCAGGAACGCTGATCCGAGTCCTCGTGGCGTTCTATTTCCCGCGTTACAAACATTAAAAACTGGATATATATTTGACAAACAGGGGTAAGTAGCTCCTCCTCAAATGTTGTTTAGTATTTATTGTGAGACTCGCTGAGTTATCAAGTGTACATTTAAAATGTGTACTGCGTAGCCTTAAATATCAAGCAGTGCAGAATGTAACAAGTTTAGCTTGCCGTTGCTATGTCTGTGTTTAACGCAATGAAAGAACTGGGAAAGACAAACCGAAG